GTCGAATACTAAAGAACAAGTTTGTGCCACGTGATAATGGATAAACTTTAGCTATTTAAATGAACCAGTTCCTATAGCTACGGATTGAGTTTAAATGCTTTCTCAGGCATTTTTGCATTTGTGGTTGACCCAGCATTCCTGGCTAAGACAAAAGGTGATGGTCCCAGTCTGTGAGATACTGTTTAAACACAAGGTATATTATTAGGGTCAGGAGAGAGGAATCAGTAATCATCATTACTCCAGGATGGATTTAGTAACCACCTTAAATTAACAGTAATTGCTACTTGCTGAACTAAGACATTGTTCATCACAAAATACAGGTTTGAGATTTTTATACTTGCATGAGTTTCTATAGGACAATTGATAATTGAGGTAGTTCAGATTCTCAAGAAAGTTTATTTTGTGTGGTGCTCAGGCCTTTTCGTATAATCAACTTTTAGAATGAATGTCTTATATTCAGCTTAGTCATAATTACCATGGTTATTAAAAGGTTGACATTCATGGGCCCAGATTGGTGAACGTCTTCCTCAAAGGTCAGTCAGGTCCCCTTAAGGGAGAACTTAGACCTTCATTCTGACTGTCTCCTAACTTGGGACAGTGAGCACACAGCCGTTGGCACTTCTGCTGAGGGACAGCGCTGTTCACTATTAAGTACCCGTGTTAGCATCGGTGCCTCTGTGTCTGGATCACAGCCCTCCTCTGCTTCCCCCTGCTGCTCGTTCCAGGTGCTGACCCTGGCCAGCAATGAGCGCGTAGCCCTCACGCCCTACATGAGGCTTCTGTTTGAGACCCATCACTTAAGGACGGCAACTCCGGCGACTGTTTCCAGAGCTGGTATTCTATATGTCAACCCACAAGATTTGGGCTGGAATCCGTGAGTATTGTTTTTTTTTTTTAAAAAAAGAAAACTTCTTTCTGGCTTATTGTAACAAAATATACATAACATAAAATTTACCATTTTATCGTTTTTTCATGTACAGTTGAGTGGCTTTAAGCACATTCACATTGTTGAGCAACCATCAGCACCATCTATCCACAGAACTTTATCTTCCCAGACTGCAGGCTGCACCCATTAAACAACAGTTCTCCACTTCTCCCCCCTCCAGCTCCCAGTAACTTGATCCTAACTTCCATCTCTATGAATCTGACTACTTTAGGTACTTCATAAATAGGACCGGACATTTTTGTCTACTTACTGGTTTCCCTTAGAATGATGTCAGAGTTCACCCATGTTACAGCACACTGCAGGACCACCTCTCTCTCTAAGACTATGTTGTTTCTATCCCTTCTATTCATCATGTTTTATTTATCCATTCATTCATTCATTCATTCATGGGCACCCGATTGCTGCCACCTCTCGGCTATATTATGAATAACGCTGCTATGAACATGGCTACATAAATATCTTTTTGAGACCCTGCTTTCAACTCCTTTGACATTTCTACCCAGAAGTAGAATTACTGGATTATGTTAATTCTGTTTTTGATTTTTTTAAGTGACTGCCATACTGTTTTCCACTGCAGCTACATGATTTTATGTTCTTACCAGTAGTGGTCAGGGTTCCAGTCTTTCCATATCCTCACCAATGTTTCTTTTCTTTTTTTTTTAACTTCAGATTAATAGAAGGGTACACATGATTAGGTCATTTTCTGATTTGTTCTGTTTTCGATAGTAGCCGTGCTACTGGGTGTAGGTGGCATCTCATTTGGTTGTGATTTGCATTTCTCTACTGATTGGAGATGTTGAGCTTCTTTCCATGTACTTATTTTTCATTTTTATTATATTCTTTGAAAAAGTGTCTATGTAAGTCCTTTGCTCATTTTTAATTTGTTTTTGTTTGTTTGTTTGTTTGTTTGTTTGTTTTTTGAGGTGGAGTCTCACTCTGTCCTCCAGGCCAGAGTGCTGTGGCCTTAGCCTGCCTCACAACAGTCTCAAACTCCTAGATTCAAAGGATCCTCCTGCCTTGGCCTTCCAATTAGCTGGGACTACAGGCACAGGCCGTGACGACTGGCTAATTTTTTCTGTTTTTGCTAGAGACAGGGTCTCACTCTTTCTCAGACTGGTCTCAAACTCCTGAGCAAAGTATCCACCCACCCTGTTCTCCCGAGTGCTAGCATTACAGGTGTGAGCCTTTGGGCCCGGCCCCTTGCTCATTTTTTAATCACATTGTTTTTATTGTGAATAGTTCTTTTATAATCTTGGTTTTAAAGAGTTAAATATTTAGAAATTAAGTTTAAGCATAATTAGGCTAGTTTAAAAATAATTAGCAACTAGAACCTTTTGTTATTTTTTTCCAGACACTACCTTGTTCCTATACCTTAAATATATTAAGAACTCAGTAAATATTGTTGGATAAGTGAATAAATAATAAAAAGTTATGTGAAGCACTTAGCTATAAATAAATCACTTAATAAGCATATGTATGTTTGTGTGTATGTATATGTATATATATATATATACACACACACACAGAGAAGAACCTCTGTAAATTGACCACCCGAGGGACTATAATAAACGAGTCAACATATGGAAGTGGTCAACAGAGGGAACTTGGCCTGATATGTATGTGTGGTGCATGTCCAGTCTATGAAACTGAGGTCAACTTAAAGGAGGTGGTCAGTGTAGGGAGGTGGTCAGCTGTGGAGGTTGTACTGTGTATATCCTGTGCATAAAACCAGTAGTAATGGTTTGACTTAGGGCAGGTTTGTTGTATCCACTCACTCTTCAAATGCTTACACTTTCCGCAATTCATCCTGGTGGGCACTTGTCACCACCATTTCCACTCTGAGCTGCATTCACCTCGAGCTCTGCCGGTGAACACGTGTTTGTGCCTGACATCCTGCCTATGTCAGAAACCTTCTGTCTCCAGCTCTGTGCCCCAGGAGCTGTCCTATATGGACTGTAGCACTGGGCTTCTTGCACCCTGGCTTCTGGTTGGCTTGACGAATGCCAAGTCCTGGCAGGAAGGGGTGGGGGGCAGAAAAGGTCAGGCTAACTGTTCCTTGGCTTCCTCCCAGCAGGGTCACATCAGGATGGCCTGCTCCTCAGCTGTAGGTTACAGCTCCTCTTAAATCTCTTCCTAAGATTCTTTCCTTCCAGGTTCTGGCCATTGTTCATTTTCTTGTCCCTGCAGACATCGGAGCAGTAACCATTCCTTGTTCTTAGCCCTGGCTTGACACCATCCTGTCTAGTTTCTCTACTCCCTGCCACGCCTTTGTAACTGTCCTCCAGTTGATCTGTCCCTGTCATCCTCATGGGAGGATGACATCCATTTCTTGCTGAGCACTTCCCCAGCTCCTCCTCTGTGCACTGATGTGCTCCCTACAAAACTCATCCCCTAACTCTGCAGCGTAGTGATATGTGCCCAGGCGCTTGTCTTTAACAAAGCTTTGTTGGATTTGCCTGGGGGAAGGAGTGATTTTTTTTTGGGGGGGGGTGCTCAATGTCTAAAATGGAGAGTTCTTCTGGGGCTAATAGCTCCTGACTATCTCCAGGTCACTTCTGTTCATTGGGGCAGGTTCTCCAGTGTCCCTGGACTCCCCTGTACAGAGTGAGCAGGCACCCGAGGCAGGTGACAGCATTCATTTTCTGCAGAGGACCCCTCACCTCTACTGGCATGGTGTGATTTCAGTAGTGAGCTTCACAGGTCCCAAGGGTTATATAATTCAGTCTCAGTCACATCATGTAGAGATTTGTGCTAACAAGGACTTGATCTAAATCCTTATAGAAAGTCTTTTATCCACTGCGTCAAAGGTCACAGGTTGGCTAAACACCCAGTGTATATTCCTGGGTGAGTTAAACAGCTCTATCTTCACCATTAGACTCACTTTTATGAAGCTTTTTATCTAGGATCAGTGAGTAGGTGTTAATTTTCATGTGTGTGCCTAAAGGGTCCGTCCAAGTCATTTTCTAAAATGTTGGGAATCTTCTCTAAAGGATATTTTTATATTTTCATCTTTCATTGCCAGAAACTTTCAGTAAGTCACAAATTGGCCTTTTGAGGTTAAGAGGTATTTTTTTTTGTTACTGTATAATTATTGGATACTTCACTACCTCTAATGTCATAATATTAATGATGTGATAACTTTACATGTATTGATTCATTTATTATGTAATACCTAATTACTTTCTAAGATCTATATAATTATGAACCTAATTTTTCAAACCATTATCTTAGGTCTCAGTTTTCCCCAACATTTTATTTCAAAATGCTCAGCACTATGGAAAAGCCGACAAGGTAGTAAAGGTACAGTGTAGCCCTGTTTCCTACAGAGGCCGATTGTTACCATTTTTTTACATTTACTTTCTATCGCTCTTTGACTTATAAGGAAGAGACTGAGGCACAAAGTATGATTTAAAGAGTTTACTTGAGCTAAAGTGAGGAGCTACGGGGAAGACGCAGACCCAGATGAACTTGGATATGAGCTCCATTTGGCGTTTGTACGAGGAGATTTTTAGAGGCAAAAAGAAAGTGGTGGCAGGAGGGAGGATCAGCAAAGGGCCAATACAATGCTGACTGTCAGGAATTCTCACTGGTTTGCAGGAATCACACTGAATAATGATCATCCACATGTTGTTAAGCTATAGGGTCAGGGATAGTGTCCTGGTGGGCATTAGGTTAATTGATAATCACGTGTGGCAATAGCTAGCAGGTTTAGAGATGAATGCAGAGCTCAAAGGGGGGTGGGATGTGATTTCTGTCTTTCTTTAATGCCTCTCTGGGCCTGGTAGTTTAAATTCCTCAGATAAAAGTTACTTTGTTTCTCGGACTGTATATATTTTCTTCCTCTCTCTCTCTCTCTCTCTCTCTCTCTCTTTCACACACTCTCACATGCATATAGATGCACGGGTTCTACTCTTATTCATTTTTGCTGAAATTTCTGAAAGTAAGTTGGAGACACTGACACTTCAGCCCTAAGTACGTCAGCATTTACCTGCGAAGTCTGGAATGTTCTGATTCATGAATACAATATAATTAACATGCTTCAGAAATTTATCCTGTGCTCACTTCAGCAGCACATACTCTAAAACTGGAACAATATAGAGAAGATTAGCATGGCCCCTGCGCAAGGATGACACGCAAGTCCATGAAGCGATTCATATTTTTTCTTAAAGACATTTGCACTAGTCTGTTTATCGCAGCTCGGTTTATAGTCACCAAGATGTGGAAACAACCTAAATGCCCATCAACCCAGCAATGGATTACCAAGCTGTGGCATATGTGTACCACCATGGAGTACTATTCAGTCTTAAAATAAAATGGAGACTTTACGTCTTTTGTATTAACCTGGCTGGAGTTGAAACAAACACACTGTCTTTGTAAAGTATCATAAGAATGGAAAACCAAATATCCAAGGTACTTGATGCTGATGTGAAGCCAGTAGATGATCAAACCCGTGCCCACATAAGAGAAAAACTCAGGTGGTGCCTGTGGCTCAGGGGTAGGGCACCAGCCCCATATATTGAGGGTGGCAGGTTCAAACCCAGCCCCGGCCAAGTGCAACAAAAAAATAACCAGGTGTTCTAGCAGGCGCCTATAGTCCCAGCTACTCGGGAGGCTAAGGCAAGAGAATCGCCTAAGCCCAGGATTTGGAAGTTGCTGTGAACTATGACATCACAGTACTCTACTGAGGGCAATAAAGTGAGACTCTGTCTCTCTTTTAAAAAAAGAGAGAGAGAAAAACTCAATTCAATTCAAGTTGTGGGGGGAAGGGGAAGCAGGGAGAGAAAGGAAGAGAGGAGAGATTGGTGCTCTCCCACATGATGGGCACCATGAAGGGATGTATGGCACCTTTTGGGTGGAGGACACAACTACAAGGAGGACTCTACCTGACAGATGCACATACTGTAACCTAGTTGTTTGTGCCCTCACATTAGCCTGAAATGTAACAAAAAAATCTATCCTTGATACAAGGTCATCTAATAAACAGTTCTTTTTCAAATCTTGCCTGTTATCCTAGTAATTTCTCGTACCTTCTAGAAAATCCAGTTCAAACAAGATCATGCCTTGCATTTACTTCTCTCTCTTCTCTCCTTCAACCTGTAACATTCCCCCACCTGACTCCTTCATGACATTTAACAGTTGTGAAGAGAACAGGCCAAGTTCCTCAAAGAGTGGCCCAATGATGGTGGCCAAGTAGTGATTCCTTAATTTAGTCGTTCTGTCTATGTATATTAGGCGACCTTTCTCTGTCAGGAACTTTTTCTCCTCACACCTACTTGTCCTCTTCCCCCTCCCGCCCTCCCGCTCTTCCTGCCCAAGCAGCATTTTCTTTTCTTCTGGTTCAGTGGGTTGTATTTGATCACTGATATTCTTTTGGATGTTGAAATTGTCCCAAATGTTGCCAGCAAGTGTCCCTTTTTTGTGTGTTCTTTTTTGTTGTTTGTCCTTGTAAGTCTTTGAGTACTTTCCTTTTTGTTTTATTTTTTTTTTTTGTTGTTGTTGCTTTGCAGTTTTTGGCTGGGGCCGGGTTTGAACCCGCCACCTCCGGTATATGGGGCCAGTGCTCTACTCCTTTGAGCCACAGGCACCACCCGAGTACTTTTCTTTTTGTCTTAACAAGATGTTTGTGAACTCAGCCATTTCTCCAAGGAGCTGGAAGGAACAAATTTTTCTATGAAGAATAATGGTATTTAGAATTGAACCAGGGATGCATGGAATACTTTTTGCTAATAGTATGTCACGGTGTCTAGGCCCTTTCAGTGAATAGAACTAGGAAATCTACCTTTAAATTTATCTTGGACAACCCCTACAGTACGGCTAAAAGAGATTACAAAATGATGTTCAGAGTATCTTTGTGGGTGCTGTTTAAAGACTAAAGATGGTGCCGTTATCACTTAAGTTTCTTAGAATATTTTCATTCACATTCACTAAGCTGTTTTTAAAAATTAGTTTCAAACTTTGTAGCTATGGACCATATAAGGTTAAAACAACATTGTATTGACCTGTGACTAGCTGTAGAAATCAAATACTTTTAAATTTTGATTCTGAGTTTTATGTAAGTTTACTGGAAAAATTCAGGACAGTTCAGGTGTATCTGTTGAAATCTTGAAAAATAAAGAAGGAATTGGAAAAACAGGCTTGGTGCCTATAGCTCAACCGGTTAAGGCGCCAGCCACGTACACCTAAGGTGGCAGGTTCGAATCCCCAGCCCAGACCCACCAAACAACAATGACAGCTGCAACCAAAAAATAGCCGGGCGTTGTGGCGGGCGCCTGTGGTCCCAGCTACTTGGGAGGCGGAGGCAGGAGACTCACTTGAGCCCAGGAGTTGGAGGTTGCTGTGAGCTGTAATGCCACGGCACTCTGCCCAGGGGGACAGCTTGAGGCTCTGTCTCAAAAAAATAATAATAATAATAATTCTGAAGATTATGATCAGTGACAATCTTTTCTAATAGAAAGGGATGAGAGGGTTAGTGCCTGTGGCTCAGTGAGTACGGCGCCGGCCCCATATACTGGGGGTGGCGGGTTCAAACTCAGCCCTGGCCAAACTGCAACAAAAAATAGCCAGGTGTTGTGGTGGATGCCTGTAGTCCCAGGTACTTGGGAGGCTGAGGCAGGAGAATTGCCTAAGCCCAGGACTTGGAGGTTGCTGTGAGCTGTAACTCCACAGCACTCTACCAAGGACAATAAAGTGAGACTCTGTCTCTAAAAAAACAAAACAAAACAAAACAATAAAACCCTCCCCTCCACATTTAAAAAGAAAAGAAAAGAAAAGAAAGGGATGAGAATATATGGGAAAGAAAAAACATATAGTGCATTAAAATTTGTAATTATTTCAGTTCAAATTGTTTAAAAGTTTCTTCTCCCCCTGCAATCTCACCGTCTCACCCTCGAATATTTTATACACTTACAAGCATACAGATTCAGAATAATCAGCATGTCCTGCTAACTTCTGCCCTTTTTCCAGGCCACCATGAATGACAGAGAACCTGAAGCTTGCTGTGAGGGAGGGCAGACTACGAGTCTGAGGAAATCCTGCCATCCTATATGACAGGATCAAACCCCAGAGGACTGAGTAATAAATGAAAAGTTCCAGGGCCCTGGAAGCTTTAGCGGCCTAGAAGACTTCCATACCACAGGGTTTCAGACTTAATGTGATAAATCTGGAGCTCTTCTAGAGGAAACAACAGCAGTGTAGCTGATGATGTGGGGCTCATTTACAGATTCTGGAAAGCTAAAGCTCCATGATAGTGACCTAGATGTTGGAGTTAAGACAATGTAGCTGTTTTCCTGAGGGCGGGCACCAATGTAGGTGATATCTCCTGGAGGGGAGGAATAAAGATGACAGTTAAATGTGGCCATTTTCAAGTGCATGTCATATGATCATAGTATGTTCCACTTTGTCATGTTCAATCTGTAGCATCTTTTAAAAATAAGGAACTTGTTTGCAAAGTGAGGTGGACAGAACTGCACATCAGTGCAGATGTGTCGCGGCAGCATTTGCCGTTGCTGGGGATTACAGTTTCTCCCTCGAAATTTGAAGTCTGTTAATGTCTATTTTTATTCGAAACTATAAGCATTTAGCAATAATTCCTACACAAAATTTTAAACTGTCCATATTTATCAATTTATGTATTTTGACCCCCTATGCTCTGGGACATGATTGGTCCCTCGTAGAGGTCATCACTGGCCTTTGGAGCAGAGAGGATTTGTGGCATCAGCTCTTACCATGTTTCCTGGTTTGGCTGCACTTTTTTTCTGGAGCAGCTCCCACTTGGAGGTGATTGTGCAATAGCATCATCGTGACTGTGACTGCTCCATTTTTTTTTTCCTTCACTTTAGCCGCTGCTACTGTAGCTCAATGAAGTAACTCTTCTATGGCCCCTGAGTGCCAAGCCCACTTCCCGTTTCTGGGGCTATATTTGAGAGCTCCTGGTCGTCATTTGCAGTGGCCTTCTGCTCCTGCAGAGACGTGGAAGAGACTTTGTCGTGAGCTAAGGCATGGAATGTGTCCTAGCCATCAGGACACACTAGTGCCTTCAGAGAGAGATGCACAGAGAGGCAGAGTGAGGATCAGAACCTGGGGCTCCCAATGCCACCAACTTTGTCCTAATGAGTAACCTTCACTGAGAATTGGTAATTTGTCAGATATTAATGTAGGTACTTTATACATGCAAACTTGTTTAATCCTCATTAAGCCCTAGGAGGTCTATATAATCATCTCCATTTATAGATGAGAAAATCGCGGCACAGAGAGATGAAGTAACTGAAGTAACATAGTTACTTGGTCCAGCTAGGACACAGATCCAGATCGTCCAACTTCAGAGTTCTTTCTCCTGAGCAATCCACAATCCCTTTTTCTTCTTTTTTTATTTTTTCCTCAATAAATACTAGACTCAAAGATTCTACTTCTGGCAGCCAGGATGCAATAAATCAGCAGGGGAGGGATAGGTGTGGCCTTCTTGCCTTTGTACCCAGTCATTAACTCTGGCTTCCCATTGTTCCATGGTGCCTCTGTCACTACCACCCAGAGATGCTCTCCAAAGTTGCTCTCATGCCATTGGATTTCCATGGAAAACCGTTCCTCCTGGACCTAAACAAAAAAACGTGACACCTGACTTTATCAATCTAACCATAGTGTAACGTAGTTGATTGTTTAATAAAATCCTATTGTAACCCTGGTGAAAAGCAAAAAGAGCCTAAATTTCTTATGATATTCAAGATGTGAAATGTTGTTTGCTTAAAGCAAGGTACAGCCGTAATTGTCCTTGGGTCACACGGCTTCTCTGCCAGCTGCCAAGTGCACTGATTACCCCTGCTTCCTACTCAATGAGAACTTCCTGAGCAGTTACTTTTTGTTTAACAAAATATATTTTCACCCCAGAAACTACTGTCATATTGTCTTATTGATAGTATTATTTTATTAATGCACGAAAGAGATTTAATATATCAAATTGACATTATATAAGTTTCATATATGTATGTGTGGGTGTATCCAAGTATAAAATGCCATTTCTGAGTCACTTATTGGTGACTATCATTATCAGCTATCAGATGGGAGTCACAGTTAGTCCTGCGAAAAAGGGGGTCTTTGGAATAGCCCCAATGGAATTTTCACCTTTTTATTTGTAACCGATTTCTCATTACTAAATAATTGATGCCAAG